TACAGGGTCTTTTTGGTGAGATACGGTGAGGTGACTGTAACTGCATCACGAAAGTGCGTAAATTGGCCCGCACTTCTCGTGTATCTGTCAGCAACCTTGCCTGCTTGCTTTTCTCAGCCAAAGTTGCTAGGAACTGCGCTACCGAATGGTGCATGAATCAGGCTCCAGTCTGTAAAAATCACCGAGTTACGAGCCTATGAAAACACGTCCTCATGAATTTTGCCCAAAATCTAAAGATCGCAAATCTCGTCGAAATTCCACCGTGAGCGCTTGTATGACACGCTGATCAAAATCTTTCGCGTCCTTAATGGATCCTATTGTGTTAGATTTAGTAGTTTGAGTTCTAGCCACTGAAATAGCTCTGATATTCAACTGAGCAGCTGAAGCATATGCAAGTACCATATTCAATACAGTGGGAGTTTTTGGGCGAAGCGAACACAATATCCGCAATGCGAGTGTCATACAAGCGCTCACGGTGGAATTTCGACGAGATTTGCGATCTTTAGATTTTGGGCAAAATTCATGAGGACGTGTTTTCATAGGCTCGTAACTCGGTGATTTTTACAGACTGGAGCCTGATTCATGCACCATTCGGTAGCGCAGTTCCTAGTAACTTTGGCTGAGAAAAGCAAGCAGGCAAGGTTGCTGACAGATACACGAGAAGTGCGGGCCAATTTACGCACTTTCGTGATGCAGTTACAGTCACCTCACCGTATCTCACCAAAAAGACCCTGTAATCCTCAAAGACCACGATTTTCGTAAAGAGCGTGTTCGAAAACCTCTATAAGCGAAGTTTCCTTACAATTTAAGAGCATGAACATTTTGACCAAAATCCATCGGCCAGCTTCAGAGCGTAAAACGAGAAAAAATGAAATTACTTGAACATCTTGGAAAACTTGCAGTTAAGGGTTATCCGACCTGCTGGTTACGAAAATCACATCTGCTTAGCAAGAAAGCTTCATATTTTAGAGTTACGTTGAGAAAAATTTAGAAGGACATGATTTTTCCAGAATTCACCAGCCCTTCTAACTCCTTTGAAAAGGAGTGTGCGGCTACTTTCTAGCGCTCCATAATCTACAAAAGAAGTACTATCGAAAATTTCTTTCTGAATGTACTGGGGGCAATACGCGCTGCTTCACACCTTTGCGAAGAGACGTCCGCAGAAAGTTTTGAGAATACTGAAATCGAGATATCAAGGACATTCTGCATACCGAAAGATTTGCCTTGATGAGCTGAGCACAATGCATTTTTCGGATTCAGAAAATATCCACTCCAAAGAAAGTTACGGCGAGTAGAATCTGGAAACGAGTGATTTTTCCAGAATTTACCAACGCTTTTTTCTCTTTTGAAAAGAAGTCTGCGGCAGCTTACTAGCGCACTATAATGCACAAGAAGAGCACTATCGAATGGTGCTTATTGGAAGCTTTCAAGTTGGATAGGCGCTGCGTTACATACTTGCAAAGGGACCTCCTCAGAACAATTTGAGAAAACTGAAAACAAGATATAGATGACATGACGTATGTAGAAAGATTCGCCTTGACGAGATGAACACAGTGCTGCTTTCGAATTTAGAATATATTAATTCCGAAGAAAGTTATGGCGCTGCATAATTTGCGATAATCCGGAATCGCGAAATTTCTGGAATTTCGCGCAATTCCCGTTCTGTGAGTGGTATTGTACATTGCACAGCACGCGCGGCATTCCGCGATATGTGCTTCTCATGCGATTTCCGACCATTTCCCTTTGTCTTCCTGCATTTTGGGACCCGTCATACTTCGCCGAGAAAAGCCCACTTTCACACATATCCATGCAGAATGAGCTGCCCAGTTTCACATATATCCATGCAGAATGAGCTCTTAAACTATACCTGCCCTATTTCTGCTGTGCTCAATAGAATGTGTACGTATCCTCTGGAATAAGCACACTGAATGGTCCATTTACACTAAAATTCCAGGAAAGAAACTTATATCCCACAACTAGGCACATCCGTATACTGGAAGATGCGCCTCGCCGAGCTGAGTTGAATGGTACTCTTATATATAGAATTCATAAATTTTGAATCAAGATAAGGTCTTTTTTTATAAAAAGTTAGGCGTTGCGCGACAAAGTTAGGTGACTTTGGCCGCTTTTCCGCCGACTTTTGCCGCGCGACGCGGCAAAAGTCACCTAACTTCGGCGGCGCCGCGTAAGTTAAGTGCCGCCGCCATTTTTTTTCACAAATTACGGGTGGTATTGTACATCATTTTTAGAATCAAAATGTTGAAGAACTGATAATTCAAATAATTTTTACAGATTATTTTTCTACGCCTTCGCTTACAAAGGCTTCTGGGCTATGGGGAGGCGAAAATTTTGGAATATTTCGTGATCCCCTTCCCCAAAAGATTCTCTCGGACTGCCACTGACATTGCTCAAAATTTGTCTGCACTGACCATGAGTTAGCCATTTCGGATGTCAAAAGACACTCTTCTGTTCTAACCGTCTTTTAATGCTTGTTAAACCCACCAAATTCCTAGTGAGCTTGAAACTCAGCCCTAGAAAGATTCTCATAGAGCTAAATGACTAGAAATATTCACATTGACTACAAACACTACAAAATATAGAGGCTAGAGGCGAAACGGGACTTTCCTAACAAAATTCTCATGATTTAGTCATTCTAGTCATTGGCAACTGCAATAAACCCTTGCATGATTGTTCTGCGCTGTCCTAGCAAATACAGGTGTCGACAATATATATTGTAAATAGAATAGAGTTTGTCAATTTTATAGGCAGTTAGGTTGATAAGAACGGATTACATACGGGCAAGATTGAAGTAGGGTCCGGGCAGATTTAGGAGCACCTTAATTTCAACCTACTGCAGCAAACTTCCATTCAAGCAGTAGCCTGACCGCAGCAACAAAAAATTGCTTCAGAAGTTCCGGAGCCACCCCTATATTCAGTCTTTTCTTTACCGACGCAGGAAATCGTGCCGTGCGACGCCATTAGCTACAACGGCTCCCGCCACGTCCTGCTTTAGTAGGGACGAGCAGGGTCAAGCGTGGGGTGCGGCACGCCACACCTGGGGGGTCGTATTGAGGAGTCAAAAGGGGAGGGAGTCGTAGTTGGGTAATCTGATAATAGTGATAGCATGATATTCGTATCATATCCATAATTAGCATGTCAATTAACCCCTGTAGACAAAGTATGAGCGAATTTTGAAGATTCAAGATACTAGGCTACCTAAGTGAAATGGTCAAATTCCAACATGGTTAATTTTGTTCCAAAGGTGAATTATCTATCCGTTTTTGCACTCATGACAAAGCACTACTCCTTCTTTGTCCACCTCAGGAATCTAGCTTCAGAAGACCTGCAAACTGTGGAATTAGAAGCCAACCAAAATCTCGTTTTTCCCATTTTTCGCTTTTGATCGCTGTGCTTTCACCAAATATTACTTAGAGTTAAGAAGACAAATCAGGCTCCAAACAGTCCTATGGAATCTACAGGGTTTAGGCTATCGATTCATATAAATATTGTCCGCTAAAAATGTTTTTTTTTGATATAGTCAATGGGGTGCGGCACACCCCCTTAAAAGCTGCGGCTGCCGCAGCTTTAAGGGGGTGTGCCGCACTCCCTTAACTTGCCTTCAAAATCCAGAAAGCGCTCCATTGCTGGTATGAGTATTGAGCACACAGCTTCTTCTTGCTACATTGGAAATTTGGAACCGAACGCCCCACCCATAAGAAAATTACGGCCCTTTCAATATGCCCATTCAGATCAAAATCAGCCGTCAAATTACGTGTGATTGTAAAGTGCAGTCACAAAAAATCGGGCGTACAGCTCTCAGAAATCTGAAAACTCTCTAGAAAAAGATGGTGCCCTCCAGAATGTCACACTCTGAGGTCCATAGGTTAAGAGGAGGAAGAGGGGGTCGTTTGAGGGCTTTCATGGGAGGGGGGGGGGTTCGAAAGACTTGTGCCTGACCTCTTTCTCAACTCTGTAATGCTATCTTAAGTATATAGTTCAAGGGGGGGGGGGGGTCTTAATAAGACAGCAATCAGGGGGGGGGGGGTCGTAACCAGCGATCGTGTGCCACACCCCTTGCTTGACCCTGGGGACGAGACATCGTGGAATGGGTATTCGCTCTAACGCGATTTCCCCGCTTAGAGGCAGTAAGTGCAGTCGTAATCTATTGCATAGGGAGCACGTTTCAGTAATCCGCTGGAACTGAGATCTCTTCAAATCTGCACTGCCTTGGGGATTTAGAGTGGATGCAGTTGAAGGAAGCGTCCTGACAGAATAATGGTCAACGGTATTTCGAAGCGTTGGTGGGGCAGGTCCCCCAAATAATCTATCAGTGAGAGCAAAAAAGCGCGTCTGAGAAGCCTGAAATCCACTTTGGAAGTCTTAGTGACTCCGCCCTTTCGTTCCAGACTCCGCCCACTTACACATATTTTGCGGCAAGGACGGACATGCAGAGCTTCGAAAAAAGCTCATTCTTGCCATTTTCGCGCACTAAAACGCTCAGAGGTATTTCCAGCATGGCGAGGAGGCTCCGAAAAAAATGAAAAGGACGGTAAGATGTTGCTGGAACACTGCCTTCAACCCTTTTTAGTTTATTTTGGCAAAGAATGAAGATAACGCATTCAAAAACTGGTGCACAGCTTTCCACAGAGCTTCCAATGACGACTTGCAATTCGTGAAGATGGATGCTGTGTATGCAGTACACTGTACACTAGCCCTAATATAAAACACATAATAAAAAAGCCTGCGCAGGAAAGCAGGTCCACTTATTTTTGTCTGTCATTTAGAACGACCCTAGCGGGTATGTTGGAGAGGAACTGCATGACTCAACATTTATCGGATGCAGTTAAACAAATATCAATTTCTTAAGATATATCTATCAGACCACCGCAACAAAGGTCCTGAATCACACTATGATATGGTGAGTTAACTTTCGCAATACAGGACTTGCTCTAATTTAGGATTAGCTATGTGAGATTCTGGAGAGTCAACAATTTAATATAGCGGCTAAAATGCCATTAGAGTATGATAAAGATTACTTATGATGGCTAATGGTTCCATTCATTTAATCACTTAAAGAGAAGACACTTTTCAGAAGAAGGGAGAGGTAGGCTTAGATAAGAAATTATTTCCCTATTTCTCATCATCAATGAAGGAGTCCTGCGAATCCCACGAATCCGTGGAAGTGGTTGTTTCTGATAATGAAGAAGACGATGAGCGATAGACATAAGTAGTTTTGAGCAGCGGACGAGGCTCTGCGTACGGAGCTGAACAGCTCAGTTGTTGCTTGACACAGTGAGAATGGACATTTGGTCCAACGTGACTGTACAACGCACCCTGCTTTCTCACTGGTCTTGTCGTGCCTGTTCCGCCAAGTTTTTTGATACCTTCAACCAGCTCTCGTTTGCGCGCTTCGATATCGACCGCTGAGATTGTGTGTTTCTCATGACTGCTGGAGAAATTAATCCGCATATACCGTACCTTTTCGTTTGCTGATCCGACTTTGCCTTCGTATGACAGCATTTCTTACTACTTTTTTATTCGCGAGGGTCACGTCTGCAACTTTGCAGATCAAAAAATCAGACAGCAACTGCTATCCAGTTTCCAATACGTACCTGAGCACTTCGCTTCTGAATGATCGCACGGTTTACCTGTGGTTTCATGTTTGATCTTATGGGCACCTCAATTCGAGAATCATTGAAAATAATGGAACGTGAAAAGTGATTCACCGGTGTCCTGTTTCTCCTTGATTTCTGCGACATATTCCACCAACTTGCGAATAGTAGATGGATTAGCGTCTGTGAGCTCGACATGAATGCTCGGATCTTGCTCGCTAGTACAAATCTATGATAATTATACATTATACATTTCTGCTCAGCAGCGCTCGCGTGTGCCTGCGCGCGGCTGCCGCGAGTTGGCTTAAGGACTACATTTTAGCGCGGGGCGTCATCCCGCGTTGATGCCCCGCAATATTACTGAGGTTCGAAGTTGGTCAAATTTTGGATTCGAAAAATTCACAATTCTATCTTGGGAAATATTCAATTGGAAATTTCGTAACATTTGACTTTCAAATTCTAATTCAAAGATCCAAACTTTGAACATCCAATTCCGAAACACATTCTTAATTTGAAGGCTCCTCAAGAATAGGGTAAAGTGAATAATGAACTGAGCGCCGCCTCCACGGGCTGCTGTTTATCAAAGTATGCGCAACTTGCGTACAAGACCAGTGGTACGCGGAGGGGAGCCCAAATGAGGTATTCGTTCCTCTATCTCTGAAATACTGTGGATTAACCAATAATTTTTAACTTTCCCTATCCAATGTTGGAAGCTTCGAATATGTGTTTGTTCGAGTAATAACGAGTGATCGAATTGACCTCTACCGACTACTGAATTTTGAACGTATGCGAAAAAATTTTTGATTTCAGATTTCCAAATATAATTCGAAACTGTAATTTCGAATGTCGAAACATTTGCCATCAACATAAGGTTGTCCCAAAGTAACCTCCCTTTTCAAATAAATCAAGCTGTTTTTGTTCTCCTGGCAGATTTAGAGTAACATTCGATAGGATGAAGGAAGCTTGATGACCACCAAAGATCCGTCTAAGTAATAATTCAGGTAAAAATCAGAGCCAAAAATTAAATTTTTCAACTACACTGAAAATAGGATCTCCTACCACAAAATTTCTAGATACCTCCAACTAGTTCATTGTACAGTAGATACATAATGGTACCCAGAAATGCAACTGATGTTTTTTCAATTGAGAAATAAAAGTAGCCCAAAAATGCAGAAATGTCACTTTCGCGTTTTCTACATAGAAGGTATTTCTCGATTACTAGGGCACATACAGAGGCAAACTTAGATTATACTTACTAAGGCCTGCAGTTTACAATCACACATGTGGGAGGAGCTGGGCCGGAGTTTGCCATTGTTGGGTTCTTTTTGCTTTTTAGGCACGGATAATATTGGAAGCATTTTTGAGTACTACTATGTGTCTACTGTATAACCAACCAACCAACCAAGTTATAGGTCCGTTTCTTTTTTCGCAAAATCCAATTCCCAAATGGTAAAAATTTTTCAACTTCTGGTTCCAGATATTAGCTTGATTACAATTGATTACAATTTAGGCAGCTCTTTGGTGTCAGCTTTACCGAATGGTACAAGTCTGCCAGAAAAACAAAAAACAGCTCAATTTATATAGAAAAGGGATAATTTTAGAACAACTCAATATTTGATTAGTACAAGTTTTTCCTTTCAGATATACTCGGCAGCCGACTCATGCTAGACACGCTCGGACGTAAGCAATAGAGGCAATTTCAAGCACCCACTTTATCTGCGCACCCGGAACCTGCGAGGCACGCTGCGCGCAAGCTTTGTCGCGTTCAGTCTTGAGACCCGAAAAACTCTCCGCGGCTAGAGATTCCCGGCGGCAAAAATAGGGGGTGGGGATGGAAGCAAATACATGACTCGATGTCATAAGGAACATTGCGCAAGACGTGCTGCTGTTGTATTGGTTTGAGTGAACTGCGGCTTTCGCTTCGCGAAAAAATCGCGCCGATTGTGCCTCTTGACCGTTTCCCACAATGCACCTGATGTGTGTTCGCGGTGCAACAATTGTTCGGGTGCCATAAGCCCAAAAAGGATGTTCTCATCTAGCTCACAAAAAATGCCTACGTATAGGCTGTACCAACCAGCATCGGTCCCACGCTGATGTGCCTTGCGAGGACGCACCGTCGCATGCGACCTGCCTCAACGCGTGACCGATGCTGGTTGGTATGGCCTATAGGATACGATGTGTAGTACAACGCAAAACTGCTTACTCTAATATTTTCTTCTCCAGCTAACATTCTGAGCATTACTGCTTTAGCATCGTCGGGAAGTCCTTCTATATCATTGACAAGTATTGCTTGGTTTTCCTCACTTAACATCATCTCCTCTTCTGAGTTTGAAACGGGATTCACGTTTCCAGCATTTGTAGTAATCACTTCAGCACTTTCTCCCAAAAGTTCCATAAGTTCTGGAGCCTAGAGAGAGCATACTTGCGTTGTGTACATTATCGTCAAGATGGAATACGATAAAAGGTTCAGTCCGTTCATAGTCTAGCACACAGTTCAGTGCCAACTGAAGCGGTCATAACCATCTAGTGAATTGAGTGGATTTGGTAAATGTGTATTTCTTCTTCAGGGTACAAATCAAGGAAAACGATCGCAATCTTGTCGCGGCATGGCTGTGAAAGTGTCGACCTACTGTCCGTTGTCCGAGGATGAGTAGCCAATCCAGCCCGAAGAACAAGCACACCGAAATGCGCTGGAGTCTCGCCGCAGTCGCCGCAAATTTAATAAACATGCGGCTCACCCGCGGTTATAAAGCAAACTTAGACAAACCATTGCGCCAAAGCTTTCGTGAAGTATGCCATTCTGGCGCAGGTGAGCCTCCCGCTTAGGCCTAAGGCTAAGGGCATACCTCACGCGATTTCAGTCGCCGCGCGATTTGGCATTGCAACGACTCTCCATGCTGGTCGTAAACGCACTTTGGCCAGACTTGCTGTATTTGTTACAATTTACGGAATCTACGCACCCATGCATCTGGGAACCTCGCATGCTCAATCTCTAGACATCTGGCAAATCGCCAAGTCGCGAGGATGTGGCGATTTCGCGAAATCGCGAGAGGTATGCCTTAGGCCTTAGCCTAAGGCATACCTCACGCGATTCCAGTCGCTGCGCGATCTAGCACTGCAGCGACTCTTATAACTGGTAGTAAGCGGGCTTTGCATGGGCTAGACTTAATGCTTCTGCTACAACTTACGAAAGCTACGCGCCTATGCATTTGAGACGCGCCACGGTTGATTTGCAGACATTTGGCAAAGCGCCAAGTCGCGTAGATGTAGCGATTTGACGTAATCGCGCGAGTTATGCCTTAAGGGGCGGGCATACTTCACGCGATTTCAGTCGCGACGCGATTTGGCAATATTCCAACTGTCCATAATTCACTGCAAGCAGATTTTGAATGCACAGAAGATAGGGCATTTTATCAATCCGCGTAAGTTATACACACTATGCATGTGCAGTTTGCTAGTGTTGGATCCGAAGACTTCTGGCGAATTGCCAAATCGCCTCGCGACTGAAATCGCATGAAGTATGCCCGGCCCTTTAGGCCTCGGGCATACCTCACGCGATTTGGCAATACTCCAAATGTTCATAACTCATCCTACGGGGTTTCTGAATGTACGGAGGAGGGGGCATTTTATCAACCTACGAAAGTTATACATGCTGTGCATTTGAGGTCTTCCAGTATTGAATTTGAAGACATATGGCAAATTGCCAGATGGCGTGGCGACTGAAATCGCGTGAGGTATGTCCCTTGCCTTAGGCCTTAGACCCGAGTCGGATCGAATGCGCAGCTGCACGGACCGAAAATCTGTACCGTTAGCAACTTGAGAGATGCTATTAATCCACCGCGCACAGACTTCAAATGTACATACACACGTTTTCCATAAATTGATGCAAGCGCGTCTAAATTTGCTGAACGAAAGGCGCTTACGAAGAATCATAGGCCATCGTAACAATGCCAGATCGCGCGAGGTATGACCAACCGTCAGCCACACAAAAGTCTTTTTCAAGTCTAAGATTGCGTCCATAATGCCCATTTCCGGCCCTCCGCTCCAAAACAAAATGCGGCCAACAGATGTTTCGTCATTTGGCGAAGCGTAAGAGCAAGATTTCGCTTCGTTCCATCTCTCTTAAAGGCAGCGTACACCCAAAACAAATGCAACAGATGTTGCAACGGCAACTGCAACTGCAATTGCAGCTTACGCTGTTATGGATTCGTCCGGAGGAGGCGGAGCGAAAGAAAAGGGGTGGCGTGAAAGAAAATTGAGGGGGGTTTTCTCCGCTCAGAAGCAACATTGGGAGACCGGACCAACGCAGTTGGTCTTCTTCTGGGCCCAGTATATACACGGTGTAGAAAGATCTAGGAAATTCGGTAACTCAAATTTTGGGTGTACGCTGCCTTTAAAGGCAGTGGATCGGCAAAATGAGTCCCGTGGCAAAACAAGGTCACAAGGCAAGAGCCCCCATAATAGAACCTATCGGCCAAAGTCCGGTCTTTCTCTGCCACATCTAACCCCGAAATTGCGAAAGCAGCGCTCATCTCTCCTCTCCTCTCCGACCCCGCCCACCCCATGGACGAGTGACTTCCACGGTCAGAGCGCGCATGCCGCAATGCTATAAGCATAAGGGTCCCGCAACGACTCTGCGTCTTCGCCATGGCTGGCTTCGGGTTCACTCGTCCGTGAAGTGGGTGGGGTCAGAGAGGAGAGGAGATGAGCGCTGCTGTCGCTTTGAAATTTCGGGGGTAGAAGTGGTAGAGAAAGATCGAACTTTGGCCCATAGGTTCCATTATGGAGGCTCCTACCCTGTGACCTTGTTTTGCCACGGGTCTCATTTTGCTGATCCACTGCCTTTAAGCGACGCTAATGAACAAAACAGTTACTGTTTAGTGACCCACGTTGTGCTTCGAATTGCTGAAGAGGATTACAGTCTAGTTAGATCATATGATCAGATGTGTCACACACAATACTCGCTTTTGCCGTTCCCATCCTGGATTCTCGGCCAAGGAGCAAAGATTGGAAGATTCACTCTAAAGAGATACTTCATGGTCGCTCATGATATTAGAGTGAAAAGAAAATACTAAGAACGCAGTGAAAAACACTCAAGAAAAGGTGTATGGCCAAAATTATGCGGACGGTATAGACGGGCATTGTGTGCAGTGACACATGTGATCAAATGAAATAACTGGAATGTAAGAGAACGAAAACTAAGATGGTTGAATGATTCAAAAAACATACCACAGGTGCGATTGCAGACAGCCAACAGTTGTCCGATGCTATAGCATCCACGGATACAGATGCATACGGCCGTAGTTTGCCGGCAAATATGTTGATATTTTCTTTCAACAAAGTCGGCAGTTTCAAAGAAACGTTATTCTGATCCAGTGCTGTACGCTGAACTTCTTTTATCTCCCTCGCTCGCCTGAGGCACAAACCAAGCTGGTTGGTATAAAACTGGCATTTTTTCCTGATATTAATCAGCTGAAAGTATTTTAGAAATAAGTTGAAATATTAAAAGAATACGCGTACTGCTGCCAGCATTGCGTAAGCTCTCAATTCTGATTCGTCCATATCTTTGTGTTCATCAGGAATAAGGGGTATGTCAGGATCAAGAGGCATATAAATCCACTGAAGTACGCTAGAGATGCTAATAACTGTTTAAGATAAAAATTCCGTACCAGCTCCTCAAAGGCGTGCAATAACGCAAGAGAATCATCAGCAAGTGAATCGTCGAGAGGATTCATACAAATCTGGAACCTTTACAATGCGTCACGAAAAAACTTTTGCCAACGTATTGTATTTTTGATCCACCCACGTTCCTAATCTCTGCCGCAAATTCATCAGAATCCTCAAACTGCCTATAATCCAGCTTCTTCTTCACAGTGGCAAGATCAATCAGCCAGTTGATAGGCTATAAGATTCTTTAACATGGTACATTACTGATGTATACAGACCTCATATTTCGCACTCATGAGCTGTTCTAATACGTAATGACAGAAGTGCATTGACGGGGAGAGCGGTCCTTTGAATTTCGGAGGCAAATGTGAGTAGTCTATGGAGTGTTCGGCTTGTCTGCGTCGAAGACGATTTGAACTACGACGAGGCAACTGAATAATAAAATTTTAATTCGTATGTCGAAGCAGCAAGTGTTTTGGTTACCATGCTGAGGTTGACAGAGGCAGTGAAGTAGTCGTTAGCGGGTCTTCTCTTTCGCGGCTGTCGAAAAACAGAGGAACTCTAGAAGCACATTTTTGAGTGAATGAATCCAAGCTGTATGACTAGAGTCTCTCAACTTGTTCCAAAGCATTAAACAAGCATTGCAATCCATTCAGAGTTTGTCGGTTGAGATTACTCTCAGAGCATGGTCCGACCACGAAAGGGTGTGGATTTCGCACAGAAAACATCATTATGTCCTTTTCTCAATTTCAACGCTGAGCGTTAAAGGCACCAGGCAAGAAATCGAGAAAATACCCTTGCCTAGGGCTATCCGCAACGCTGAATCTGACGGCGAAAGCATGTGTTTTCCAAAAACTTACAATTTAAAATAGGACGGTTCCGCCAAGGCTGGGACGCAGAGTCGTAGTGGGATCCTACAACTTCAACGGAGGCGGCATGCGTACTCCACCAGAGCAGGAATTTGAACAGGTGGAGAGTCCCCTCCCCAAGCGTTAGTTTCCCAGCGTTTCAACCATACTTGATTGTGATATGGCCTCGCACGCGATGGCGGGTCCGAGAGGGTCCACCTTCGCTTGGCGCTGAAATCCCAAATTCCCCACTTCCGAACACTGCCTTTGAAGGGGCCGTCATCCAAACTCTCGACTTCCTTGTTTTTGTCGTTCCGGGGCCTTCTCATGTCCTTGATTCCGAGTAGCAGGTCAGAAATTGCGAAAACCCCGACAACCTTGCAGGGCGAGTTTTCCGGAACGGTGACTCGTTGGGTGCGCACAATGGGCGTCAAGCCCACTTAAAGGCAGCAGCTCGCCAAATTCGAACATCCCCGAATTTTGACATGGGAAGTTGCTTGCACCCCAAACATGAGAACAGAGCAGGTCCGAGCGCACAGCATGCTGCCCTTGCCTAGAAAATCCAGTTACGCGTAAGCCATTCTGATACGGGCGGACGAGCTTGCAATTCTCCCTGACCCGTCAGAGAAGGTATGCCGCAATGTTATAACTGCGAGGGTCCCGGAACGACTCTGCCTCTCTAACCATGGCGGGACATTCTCCACTCGTCCAAATTCAAAATGGGAGGCCTTGGCAAGTGGTGATTTTTGCCATTTCCGCGCTCTTCGGCTCCCGCCAGAGTGCCGAAGTTATGCCAGCGCTACGTCAGCATTTCGATCGATACACGTGTATTTCGTTGGGGCGGGGCTAGCTCAGCAGGTAGATGTCCCCAACGAAATACATGTGTATCGATCGAAATGCTGGCGTAGCGCTGGCATAACTTCGGCACTTTGGCGGAAGCCTTCCAGGTAGATTTTCGGAACCAGCGCCTTGAATTATCCCAGGTAAGCAAAAAATCTTCAAGTCGACAATCTGCCGAGCCGCTGCCTTCAAAAGGGACACTCCACCTCCCGTAACCGGGAACACAATCTCGCTCAAATTAAACTCTTGACAGAAGTTGTAGATGATCATCTTCAGCCAGAAAGTAGCCTCAAAGATCTTACTATTTTTACGCATTAATGGAACTTTCAGGGAGAAGCCAACGCGGCGAATCCATCATTTTAAATCGTTTTCGAAGCAATTTTCTCGCTTCGTAAGTAACTTTTTTCAGCCCGGGTTGGACAAGTACACGGCTGCGGGTCCCGCTAGTGTTAGCCATCAAAATCTCGAGATTTCATTTTGCCTACATCTCATTAGGTAAGTATCAAGTGTGTCATAAGCATGGCCTGCTGTGATATAAGACTGTTTACAGCCCAGACGCTTATAGTGTACATAGGCACACCTTTCATAGTTAGCATTCTACACCAACACTGACTTGCACAGGCTGTTTGTTCATAAAGCTTTATTGCTTTCTCTATATAACGCACTTCAACAGGCGCTATTCCGTCTAGGCTACAATAGATTCAGAACCACTGATAATCTTGGTGCATCGGCCAAACAAAACAGATACGAGCCTGTTTGAATAGTAGCACGAAACAACACAATCAGATTTCACCTTCAAAGAAAAACCGAAAACGTCTTTAAAGGAACTCGTGTGTAAATCAAAAAACGTTTAAGATTATGCTGTTTGGTTGCTCCATACTGGGCTGTCTTTTGGAGAAATTCCGGGAAGATGCAAGTGGCACCCGGGCAGCTGACTGCTGCGCAGCCACCCGCCGTAATGGTACAGTAATTAAGTTCGTTGTCTAAAACCCTTGCCAACAGGTTTTCTCGCACGGTCTTAAGTGGTCGGTGTTGGGGTTTCGGGTGATATTTGGGAAGCTTCGGCGGCTCTCCAGTGGTGGAAATCTCACTTTTCGGCGGAATCTCACTCAATACTCTGCTCACCGAAGTTTTACAAAAAATTTATTCCCAGAAATCCAAATTCAGCACTTTCCACACCTGGCATACTGTGACTAACTCTAATCAAGCTGACCAATTACAGCCCTGAACCCCACTGTCGTAGCGACGCTGCCGAATCGTTGTTCGATGACCTTGTACTGATTTTTGTATACGATTCCGCGAACTCCGTTCGCAAACCAGTGTTTTTGTCTTGTTTGCGACTGCGCAAAACAGTGTTTTTGTCTTGTTTGCGACTGCGCAAAACAGTGTTTTTGTCTTGTTTGCGATTGCATTCAACAAAGGAAGCTGCTAGCTGGCAGCCTTCCGAACACTTACAGTTTTGGCTCCTCCTCTTTGGAGAGTCACTTGTGATTGAGTTGTAAGCCGGAGAAAGAAGCACGGTAAAAACAAAAATCCACTGAACCCCAGCAAATTTCGGGTGCATCGTCCGGGAAAAACCCCAGCCAAAAAGCAAGTCAAATCTTGCTAAATAAAAAGCAAGTCAAATCTTGCTGAACAAAAAACAAGCCAAATCTTGTTGAATCTTGTTAAATCAAAATGGAGTCGGTTTTGCGGGAAAACCCTCTTAATATCAGCGCCAAGACGCTGAAAACTTTGGCGAATAATGTCAAAGAGTTCCGAAAGCCAGTAGATTCCGCAGAAGGTAAGCTGGCCTACGAAGAAAAGCAGCCATAAGCGCTCCGGCTCGCGATCCAACCACAACTCAACTGCCCTAGATAGAGATATACCCAGCTATATTAGTCCGACTATACAATGAACATTAGTGTTGTAACAAATGTTAACGACCGTATGAATGTAGAGCTAAGCTCATCAAGACTTAGGATGTTGAGTAGGACATCACCATGGCAACACCCATATCTTACCCATGACATACATGACCTGAAAAGATCACATATCGGTTGAATTCGGCGTTCTATTCTTTGTACTACCTTCCACTACCATCATGACTTATAATAAAGCGCTAAGTGTCTGTCTGTTTGTCTGTGTGTGTGTATATCTGTCTGTCACGAAATTCACAGAGCGAGTTGCAGCCAGCCTCTTGATCTAGAATTTTGGTCATAGCATCCTGTCACCGCGTAGGTAAACTGTGCAAAATCACAAGCCGATCCAGTAAGTGGAAACATCGAAAACTGTGCGTCATACGGATCCACGCTACTTTTGGCCCGCCAAAATGGGCCGGTAATTGGACTTTTTGCAAAGTCGTGGATTTATTCAGCAAGTAAATTCTAAAAACATTGACTTCAGCTCAAAAAGTAAGCAAAATGTCTATTATTACACAAAATTGGCGCCAAAAAGATGTAACTGACCAAATTGCCGATTTGCCAAGTTTTTACCATGAAAATTGAGAGGATTTTTGAATAGATATGTAGCCCAAGGTGGTCTTTATCCTTATGGCGAATATAAAGCCAAAATAAATTCAGTAACCCATTCAAAATCGCATTTGTTTTTCTGCGGGAAAACTTTTTCTCCCAAAATTACCAATCTTACATGGAAAAGCTCTGAAAATGAATGGTTGTTTACAATTCATTTGTGATGTTCAGCATCGCGCGGCGAGTTTCAAAGTCATTACTATGTGATCACGAAGAAGGCACGGATAGTAGAGCCAGTGCGAACCTCTGCGAAGCAGAGGTGATGCACTGGTGATGTATAAGATGGGCAACACACATAAAAGAATTCACAATTGACGGTATATAATTCAACTCCACCGTTACCACATCTGAATTCGATGTAAACTCGTCCGCAAAATATTCGCCGTCACTTCCAACTAGCTTTATCTTATTCGCAAAGCCAGCCACCGCCAATCCTCGTACTCCCGAATCCACCGTCGCCCCACCGTCGTCTCGCCAGTTGGTAATTCTCCCACTATACTTTTGTTCACTTTTCTCCCTGTTACTAATTCCCATTTTATTCCTTTCTTATTTTCCATACCACTCACCGTGTATCGTTTGTTCATATTTGATTTCCCATTTTTATCGCTCCTCTCTACTGCAATTAACACTCTCGATCGATTGTATTCTTGCTATCCGAGATTATGCTAACCCATCTGAACATTATTCCTTTCTGCTATTGCACCGCTTCTTGCAGTTACGCTACTAGCTTGTAAAACACGTTTATCTGAAATTATTCTATTTCCATTTCTCCTTGGCCGGAGTGTCGTAGCCGACGCTACCGTAATTTTCTGTTTCCATTTCTCCTCGGCCGGAGTGTCGTAGCCGACGCTACCGTAATCATTGTTCGATGATCTTGTACTGATGTTTTGTACGATTCCGCGAACCCCGTTCGCGAAACAGTGTTTTTGTCTTGTTTGCGATTGCGCAAAACAGTGTTATTGTCTTGTTTGCGATTGCATTCAGCAAAGGAAGCTGTCAGCTGGCAGCCTTCCAAACACTTACAGTTTCGGCTCCTCCCTTTTGGAGTCAGTTGTCATTGAGTTGTAAGCCGGAGAACCCGGCGCTTTCGTAGTGTTCGTTAAAGTGTTTGCTACAGTTTGCCGGAGAACCCGGCTTGCAAATAAAGAATTAATCCATCCGTGTTTAACAGAAGCACGGTAAAAACAGTATTCCACTGAACCCCAGCACACCCACTAAGGGCCGCACGCATTAACAACCCGCCGGGGAGCTCAAAACAAAGCTTCATTTCCTGAAGCTCCAGACACCTGGATTTCACGGTGTCTACCTATCCGTAAGTGTTTCTACCAACCTTCACTATGAACATATTGAACAGAAGTGAAGCTGTATAAGCCGCATATTCCGGCTTTTATTATGGTCTCCTATGATCCCCACCGACGGCCGTCCATCTTTTCTTTGAAGTCATTTTTTTCTTCGAATAACAAAAATCTTTCAAAGTTGTCTGTTCGTGTAACCCAACAGTGATAAGGATGTTGCTGATAAGAACAGATGTCGTTTTGGATCATGAAATTTGCGCTGAACGACAAGTCGAATGTTCGGATTCATCGAGAAATTGAAACTTCAAAAATTTACTACTTCTTATCAGCAACATGCTTAGCTACGGTTGGGTTAGACGAACAGTACAACTTTGGAAGGTTTTCGTTAACCGCGAGGAAAGGAAAATAACTCATGCTAAAGTGGATCACCAGAGGATTATACAAAAAGCTGGAATATGCGGCTTGTACAGCTTCTCATTCCTGTTCAACATGTTCATGGTGAAGGGTGGTGAGGATACTTACGGACATGTTATACGGCGTAAAATCCAGATATCTGGAGCTCATGATTATGAAGTCTTTTTGGAGCTGCGATCGTTTTCCCGGCGAGGAGTGATTGGTCAGCTTGAATAGGACTCGTCAACACAGGTGTGTAAAGTGCGGAATTTGAATTTCTGGGAAAAACAATTTTTGGATAATCTTAGTAGAACAGATCTACGAAGGTCTCCCGTCGAAAAGGTGAGATTCTCACCGCTGGGCAGCTGCCGAAGCCTACCAAATATCCCCCGGAACCCCACCACCGCCATCTGAGAACGACCTCGTCCCCACCTCGCCTCAGCTTCTCTCCCCAGCGGGATGTACGTGATACGGGCCTCAGTTCATGCATAAAGCACGGCTCTTTACAGTGTGAAATTTGAGGTTTATCTCCGATTACATAGAAAGATTTGAGATGCACCTGTTGATTGCTGGACTTTTTCATACTCCGTTTCCCCTTCCTTCTTTTCCGTCCACATAGTGATGGCAGTGGAACATTTGAGGCAGCGTCGCTGTTGGAACACTATAAGCCCATGCAAAGGTAAAAAAATAAAGAATATTGTTGGAAGTACTTCTTCGAAGATGTCGTCGTCTGGGATATCAAGTGGGCCATCGTGGCATGTGTACTCTTCTTTGATGTTCACACAAACACCTTTTTCATTGAAGTGTGTTGAATTTGAACTTTGACAGGATTTCTGTAAATATGAATTAGAGCTACAGAGCAACTTGCCTTTGATGCTGAAGCAATACAAGGTCAGTAAGTATGACTGAAGCTACAAATCAACATGAAAAATGCCGGAGCCAGTCGTTTGCTGATTATGCATCAATTTCTGCATTTATAAAGCAGAAACTTTCCAACTGTTAGCGTTTGATTGTGTGGCAGATTCATCGCAAGTGTAGTAATGGAAGCAAAGACGAAGTACTGAATGGATTGACCAAATTGTAGTAATCAATATGGATATTGTATTTTATGCCATTTGATGCTTTGCAGAGGCTTGACATCAACAAACTTGCAGACCCGTACTTTAAGTGCGTCGACATCTAGATTTAGTTTTCAATTTCAATATATGGTTTGTGGCTTGGTTGCTCTGTATTTCCACTCATGATCTTTTGATGCACCTCGAGTGTGATAGATAAAGAAAAAGATATATATTACGCTCGATGTTATGCTTCCTCTGACAATGTTGTTTTGTTGTATTGTTGGTCAAGGTCTTGATTACGTTTTTAGCCGTATAAATAAGCCGGCCTTTGGTTATGACGGACTGGACGACGAATTTCAATGCTCTCTGCTTTTTAACTCCTCATCTTGTGTAGCGTCCTGTTCTTTTTGTAAGTTCCGACGTAAGGTTTTTCTTTGCTCTTTCTTTGGTTCTGGTAATAAATACAGGGTGTCCCAAAAGTATGTATACATCTCTCTTCCCAAGAAGTCTTTTGCCTTGCTTCGGTGCCGTTCTGTGAGCTGGCTTAAACTTAGATTTGCAGTACAGTACGAACCATCCATCTCTCACCGTTACTGCAGAATTACGGTAGAAAATTTGAAGAGGCCATGAAAGGCCATATTTTGCCTCAGAAAGGAAACAAAACAGCCTGAAATTTTTTACACTAGGCTAATTAGAGTTGCTGTTTCTAACTGTAAAGTTCCCAATTTATTATGATGTTTTATTGAAGAGTTATGCCAGGTAAGCAGTAGCGACCATTTTTTCAATGTTCCTAAGTGTGGTTACACCGTTTAGAAAACTTCGCAATCTTGTGAATAGCTGAGTAAGGAACTCAGCGTCCCTAAAAACCCTATTACACAAGTTTTTACATTTTTTGAAAATTTTGAAGCTTTTTCCACATTGACACCATAGTTTTAAGTTCCTACCGTAATCCTACAGTAATGAGGAGCGGTCGATGATTCTATCCAAACTGTAACTCTAAGTTGAAGCCAGCTCTACAAAACGGTACCTGAAGCAAGGCAAAAAACTTCTTGGGAAGAGAGATATTAACGATCAAACAGTGTATACATACTTTTAAGACACTGTAAATGTAGCTTGGTGGCGTTTTCTCAGTGGATTTCTCGCCTGAAAGAGGGGCACCGACACCCAAGTGTGCCATGTGGAACGAGAGAAGATCCGCAGTGGCAACAAGAAAATCCACGGAGGCGAAGAACACTGTCGTCCCTCGATTTTCAACTTTGACATTGATAAAGCTTTTTTCGCTTTTCACTCAGTTTATGTATTATTGTTGATGCAAAAATAATGGCCGTTTTGCGAATTTCTACTTTTACGTGCTATAATTTTCTAAAGAATCTATCTTTCTGAGGCGATTTAAACCATTGGAAACAGCAAACCTTTTCCAACACAGGGCACCTTCATCTACAATCAAATCACAAACGTAGGATATGATTTGAAAAGCAAAAAGACTTTTTCTGAAGTCTTGTCTTTGACAAACTCTATCTTTTTTCACAGTTTGTTAGTATAAATGGTAGGTTGCCTATTCTGTAGCTTTATACCAGTAGGAAAAGCAAATGAGAAGAAATAGGCCAAAGAAGATTTGAGAAAAAAAAATCAAAACTTGAATTGTCAGTTCTTTCAACATTTTTTAGCCTTTGAAGTCCCTCTCAGACAATTGCATCGGGAAGTTCGCGGCCTCAAAGCATGCTACATGGCGCGCCGCGGCCCTTAAAATTTCAGCCGCGCACGCCGCGGCCCATGTATATTTTAACGGGAACGCCGCGGCCGAAGTCAAAATTGGAAAGAGCTTACCGGGAGAGTCGCGGCCCAATCACCTCACTCGGCGTGCCGCGGGCCTTATCAAAGGCCGCACTTCTTACACGCTGCAGCTTAAGGCGCAACCCGCGTGAGGTACGCCGCAGTGATGGGGCTACCCTAAGTGTTTCTGGGGCTGGTAATGGCATCTCGGTTTGAGTTGTGTGATAGTTGAGTTTATATGCTCACGAAACAAACTTCACCAATCGGTTGAGTGTTATCGACAATAGTAGATGATGTCGACAGATGAGCTAACAAGTTGCTCAATTTGTACTCAGTCGTTGTCATGAAAGACAGGCCAAAATTTTTTCACTCTACCTAGGTGGTCTCACAAGCATGCTAATCGGGTCAACTATCGGGCGCTTACAGGATGCGCCGCGGTCACGTATCGGGTCTAATATCGGTTCATACCGGGCAGCTCGCGGCATGGATGATTGGTGGCCGAGCAAGCACCCGCGAACTTCCCGATGCAATTGTCTGAGCTAATTATACAATGTTTTTTGCGTACCGGAAAGCTGAATGTTTTCGCAAAACTGTCAACAAGCAAAAATGAGCAAAGCTTCGGCTTCTTCAAGTAACATCTATGAATCACAAAATGACCATAAAGGCTACCCAAGTTGATGCTCCTATATTTCAGGCTAATGATATCAAAGAAAACAGTTAACTTTGCGTAATGTAGACAATTTCCCATACATACAATAACCAGACTTTCGGAATGACGCCTTTCACTCGTGCTTGAATTCTGACCAGAAAAGTGAATGCAGCAAAATTCTCATTTTGAATGCGGTTATTTGAAGCTTTGTAATTTTTTGAACAGATAGGCTGGAAGTCCGCTCAGACAATAGTTAGATAGAGATGAGAAGAGCTCCTTTATGGTATGCTGTAGTATACCAAAGATAAATTGTGATGGAAAAATTATCCTGAAAGAAGGCTTGAAAAACTTTCATTATTTTTGCATATCCAGTATAAATATTTTTTTCTCGTGTGCGCCAAGGAGTAGTCTCCTCTCTCTATCTTGAACAAAGTTGACTAAATTTTTCAGCGCATATATCCTTTCACAAGTACAATATGCACTTGTTTTTTTAATTCGAACAGCCTAAACAAGCTAAAGCGACCAGACCCATTACCTTGCTGCTGTTTACTCGAAAGAATTGCATAGAAGAGCGACCAAACCGCGAGGCGCAGTGATGCGGCGAGCTGCCTGCTCGAAAAATGTCTGCCGTAATCTTCCATTTATATAATGTTTCGGTCGCGTTAACTTGGTAAGCGCTTAATTGGTATTGCACTCTTGCACATAGAAAAATGCCATATGTGGGAGATCATAAGTAAGCGCTAGGTTATGTCTTGAGCTGCTAAATCACCGCTAAAATTGACGTCAAATCATAACCGTTGCGGAGCATTCCAATTTTTCCGCTTTCCTGAAGTTTCATAACACTTGACCTCGGTCTTAAACGAGATATGAGTAACCAATGACGCTTCTTTAGCAACGCAGCGTTGACGCTTTTTGCATTCACTTTATGTCTGAAGATCGTCGCGATAGTTTCCGCAGCTTGAAAGAAGATTGAGTCTTACTTCTTCAATCCAAAGAAAGGAAGCTCGCCTGTTCTGCAGTGCAGTCTTCACAGTCTTTCTTTATAATTCCGGATGCTGTAGTCACTTTATGCGAGTTGCATTTTTCGGTTATGATACATTCGGCGGCAACCTCGGGAGTTGTGCATATGAAAAGCTAAATGAACAAGAAATCTGACCAAACAAAAGCAATGGAACCATGTGTAATTTGCACGCTGTTTTGAATCGACTCCATCTAGCAGTTTAGACTTTTTGAAGGCAGTGGATCGGCAATGAGCTAAATTTTTTTGCTTACCTGAGCAAATCCGAGAATCTACCTTAAAGAGCCAAAAATGGCGAAAACCTGCATTTTCCAAGGCCATTCATATCAAATTTGGACGGGTGTTTTTTGCCAAGGTGGGAGACGCAGAATCGTTGCGGAATCCTGGGCATACCATTGCGGCATGCCGCCGCGGACGATGGGAGGGAAATCGCGAGCTCGCCTGAGTGTGTAAGGGCTTGCGCGCACGAATTTGGAGGCATTTTTTTTTACAGGCGCGCTCGGAATACCCTCTGTTGTGTCCTCCACGACGGACACTCCGACTCTTCGTCCTGAGGCAGTACGAGGAACACAAGAATATTTATTAGAGAATAAAAAGGAACAGTGGAGATATGAGAGGCGATGGAGTGAACAATGTAACTGTAGAACTGAACTGAACTGACTAAGACTATGAGTGAGCGCCTTTTATAGCGCTCATTTCCCGCGCACTCTGAGGCTAAGATCGAATGCACGAGGGCAGATCACTGTGAGGAAAACAGCTGATCATATACGAACACTAACACAACACCTCCCCCAGTAGGGTAGTTACACAAAACTAGCCTACGATAAAAAGCATGAACTACAAATATGAACAGCTAAAAATCGATTATACATAGATATCACTATCATTTAAGCAACTACAAAACTAATAAAACAAACATACGATAACATACCATGGACTAGGTTGGAACCATTGTACCGGTCTTCTCGTTCTGCTCGATATCCGAAGCGTTGTCGGTGGCGTGGATGGCTCGTGGCTTGATGTCGACGTCGATGTCGCTGAGTCCACGGATTCTGGCACATCGCTCGCGATTGCTTGCTCGGAACTCCCTTCAGCAGCATTGCCATTCCTCGATAGTGTGTCGTCTTCTGTCAGAACATCTAACAGTATCTTCAAAGCTTCGGATTGTTGTTGAAGTTGTTGTCGTACGGCGACTTGTTCACTATCGCTTCGATGTCGCAGCTGATTTGCATGCTTCTTGCATATCTCATCACCAACCATAACTTCATAATTGACACGTCCAATGCGTCTCATAACGGTTCCTTTCACCCAGTGGAAGTGGGGTGGCTTCCATTGCTTAGCGTATACCAGGTCACCAACTTCGAAATCTTTTCGAACGACTCTCCATGCTTTTGGTCGAACTGATCCTTCATGCGCTCCCGTCTCCTTCATGCGAGTGGGTCTTGTGCATCTTCTGTCATCGGGAGTGACAGACTTAATTTTGTGCGCAAGTTTCTGCCTAGAAACAATTCTGCTGGCGTCTTGTCGTTCAAATTCGTGTTTGGTGTTGTCCTGTACGCTTGTAACACCACATTTAGAGTCTCTTCTGTTGGCCTCTCCTCCCCCTCTAGTTTCTTGATTCCGCGTTTCAGCGTATCAACGAAACGCTCTGCCTGTCCATTCGATTGAGGGTGGTACGGAGCAGTCCTTATATGCGTGATTCCACCTTCGTCACACATCTTCTTAAACAAGTCCGACGTGAACTGTGTACCGTTGTCTCTCACTATTGTTTGCGGTAGTCCATACCTCGCAAACAAGTTCTTCAAAGCCTTCACCGTCTTCACCGCCGAGATATTGGTCATCTCGATCATTTCAGGCCATTTGCTGTATGCGTCTACTACTACCAAGTAGAAGACTCCTTGCATAGGTCCAGCGAAGTCGATGTGTATCCTCTGCCACACTCGAGTCGCGGATGGCCATGCTTCTAATGGTACTTTCGTCGGATTCTTGGCTAATTCCTGAAATTTCGTAAACTTCGTACCAAGTCTTCGCAATCTTTGTCGTTATTCGGCCAGTAGACGTAACTTCGAACCAGTTTCTTCATCCTTACTATCCCTGGATGTCCAACATGCAGTTCTTTCAGAACATTTCCTCAAAGCTCCTTGGGTATCACAACCCTTTCGGCTGACATCAGACATTGCTCCACGATTGACAATGTATCTCTTCGATTTCGAAAATGTGCCAATTCTCCATTCACTTCTGGCCAATTTCCTTTCTGCACATAAGTGAGTACTCTTCTAAGTACTGGATCTTTCTTCGTCCAAGTTTGTACATCAGATACCGTTACTGGCAGTTTCCTTATGCAGCTCTTCAGCATGTAGCCAACGTCGTTCTCAACGGCAGCTATCACGACATCTTCTTCGGGATTCTGATTCTTCTTCATCAACCTTGACAAACCATCTGCTTGTCCAAACTTCGTAGTTTTGACATACTCTATGTCGAAGTCATATCCTAACAGGATTGTAGCCCATCTCATGAGTCGGTTAGCGGAGTAGACTGGAACTCCTTTCTTATCACCGAAGATGGCTAACAGTGGTTGATGGTCCGTCAGAAGTAGAAACTTTCGTCCGAGTATGTACTTGTGGAATTTCTTGACAGCAAAGACAATTCCCAATGCTTCTTTTTCGATCTGCGAATAGTTCTTCTCCGCTTTCGTAAGAGACCGCGATGCATGTGCAATTGGCTTTTCGGATCCATCGGCATATCTATGCGATATCACGCATCCGATCCCATAGTCGCTAGCATCCGCTGCCACGACAATCTTCTGCCTTGGATCATAGTGAGCAAGGTTCAGCTCACTTGACAAACTCTTCTTGAGCTTTTCGAATGCTTCTTGATGTGATCGAGTCCATTCCCTCTTCGAATCCTTCTTCAGCATCGCATCCAATGGCCCACGGAGATCCTTGATCTTTGGCATGAATGCAGCATAGTAAGTTACCATGCCAAGGAAAGCTCTTAAGTGACTGACATTCTTCGGCTCATCCATACTCTTGATCGCTTCGATCTTCGCTAAGTTCGGTCTTCTGCAATTTCGATCCACTATGAAGCCAAGATATCGTATCTCTGGCTTACCGAAAGAACACTTCTCTAGACGAATTTTGAATCCGTATTCGTCGATTCTTGCAAACACAGCTAACAGATTTTCCATGTGTTCTTCTTCTGTTCGTCCACAGACCAAGATGTCGTCCAGGTAGGTTGCTACTCCTCGTAGACCATTCACCATCTTGTTCATGATTTGCTGGAAAATCCCTGGTGCTGTCTTGATTCCAAAAGGCAGTCTGTTGTACTGGTAGAGCCCTCTATGCGTATTTATTACAACCATTTTCTTCGCTTCGTCTGACAACTCAATCTGCAGATAGGCGTCCGACAGATCTATCTGCGAAAACACCGTGCCTCCATTGAGGGATGCGAATATATCCTCCGGCAATGGCAACGGGTAATCATACGACTCCAGCGCTTTGTTGAGTCCAGTTGAGAAGTCAGCACACACTCTCAACTTTCCATTGGCCTTTCTGACGCATACGATCGGAGCTGCCCACTCACGGCTTATGACGCTTAGCTCCAACAGCCTATTAAGCTCCTTTTCGACGGCTTCGAGCGCAGGATGGGGGACAGGTCTGCAAGCCTTGAATACTGGGCGAACGTTTTCGTTAACTCCCAAATGCGCTTTCTCTTTTGTGCAGAGTCCTAGACCTTCTTCGCAGACTTCTGGATAGGTTCTCTTTAGCTTCGTAGCGATGTCGCTGGTTTGCTCTGCCTTCACTTCGGCAACCATTCTGCTTAAGTGATAGGACATATCTTCGTTTTTCTGGATCCACTCTAATCCTAGCAGTGAGTTGTGGGGCATCACGTATGCGTAGCCTTCGCTTCTGGATCCTTTGATTTCGTACCCACACCATAGCTTTCCATGGACTTTCATGGAGCCTCCACTAGCGTTCTTGACGATCACGCTTGTTTCCTCCAGCAGTGGAGCACCCATGCTTCTCCAGATTGCTTCGTTTAGCAAGGTGATATCTGATCCTGTATCCAGCAAGAAACTAACTGGATGACTATTAACTTTCGCTTCCATGCGCGAGTCGAATTCACTTCATTATTGCTTTCGCAATCTTCGCAACATTATGCACTTGGCGTTTTGGTTTCGTCCAACTTCTGTTTTTGCTGGTATCGCTGCTTCTGTGGATTCTTCGTTTCGAATCTTGCTGAACAAGTGCTTTTTTCTCCGTCACTTGTTCGCAATACTTCTCCTTGTGGCCTGTCTTCTTGCACTTCTTGCAATACCACAGCTTCGCTTTGCATCCCTGGCAAAGTGAGCTTTACCACAGTTCCAGCATTCCAGCTTCTGGGGTTCTTCCTTGCTTGTTGCTTCGACAATCTTCGTGCAACCAGCCACAGTCTCGCTATCCTTCTTGAGACTAAGGAAGTTTTCGCACTCGAGGTACAATTCCTGTAGCGACATCTTTCGTCCAGCCTTGTACTCCTTGTCCAGTACGGCTATGAGTCGCTGCCTGATTTCGGCTTCTTTTGGCTCTTCAGGCCAAAAATCCATAAAAGACATTTGATTCCATCGCTATCTAAGTCGTGAATTTTCGGTTTCTCGCACAGTTCTTTCACTCGACTGGTATACATGAGGTAGTCTTCGGAATCCGCCTTCTCCAGTTTCAAGCACTGATACCGCACAGTGAACTCCGAAATCTTCACGTCGAACAGCTGCTTCAACGTTTCGACAGTTTCTTCGAATCTGATCGCGGTTACCTCCTTCGGTAGTACATGCCTCTGGTAAATTTCGAAACTGTCCTTGTCCAGCTTTGCGCACAGCAATCTCACTCTCGCAGTTTCTGTGAGCTGCTTCGCATCTTCGACATAAACGTCCTTGTAGCGCGCATACCATTTACTGAAGCATATGTCCGCTTCGGGATCGAAGTAGAATTTTTCGATCCTATTGCTGAGGGCGGACATCACGTTCGGGATTTCGACTGAGGTACCGCTTCGTCCAGTACCTGTGATGTGCTTCAGAAGCTCCATCATTTCTCTTCGTTCCTCTCTCATCTCCTGGAGCAAGATCAGCAATTCTTCTGAGCCCATCTTCGCCATGCTGATCTATGAATTCGATTTGACCGCAATCTCCTTTTCGCTTCGATTTCCTCGAGCTTCGTTGGTTCGACTACTTCTTCGACTAGTAGTCGCCGCTCCTGATCGCCACTGTTGTGTCCTCCACGACGGACACTCCGACTCTTCGTCCTGAGGCAGTACAGGAGGAACACAAGAATATTTATTAGAGAATAAAAAGGAACAGTGGAGATATGAGAGGCGATGGAGTGAACAATGTAACTGTAGAACTGAACTGAACTGAAATGACTAAGACTATGAGTGAGCGCCTTTTATAGCGCTCATTTCCCGCGCACTCTGAGGCTAAGATCGAATGCGCGAGGGCAGATCACTATGAGGAAAACAGCTGATCATATACGAACACTAACACAACACCCTCTTTCCATGTTTGGGGTGTAAGCAACTTACACATTAAAATCCGAGTCTAGTCTTGCCGAGCCACTGCCACTAAACTGTTCAGAATGATCATTCTATACACATACGGACACAGTACCTGAGGGTTGTCCACGGGTTGCTCATGAGACTGAGTGTCTTTCTGCTTCTCAAATTCATCATCGTCATCTAATTCTTGTTTAAACATGAGAAGCTAGGAAGAGCTGAACTTGTCTGAAAAATTTGGAGCTCATCGAGAAAGAAATTGGCTTATACTCGAATAATTTTGCGAAAATCGTTCGGCTTTAGGCTGCCCGGGTCTCGCGCGGAATAAAGCGTTGTTGCATCCATCGCACAGTATAGAGTGGCCGAGAAAGTCGGAAAAATGCACCGAGGTGCCCGAGTAGAGAAAGGGTCCGCATTTGCGCATCCTGCGTGTACGACTCACACATAAGACATTTGCTTTGCTAGCAAAAAAAATTGTGGGAGAGAATTCCTCTGAAAAGGTGTGGACTACAATACTTGCAAGGCAGTGTCCGGGCAAAAATGGGGTGTGTGGAATCCTAGCTTCATGTGCAAAACGCCCCCACTTGCCCTCGGGTAGGTTAGTATATGTCGCCGAAAGTGGGAGATCCTGTCGGACATTTGCAACAAACGCACATTCTAATGCATGCATAGACTGATTATCTGGTGCAATGCCCGTGCGGGACCCTCCCACTTTTGGCGACATGTAGTTCTCTACCCCTTGCCCTCGCACAAGTGGGAAGTCATAATGCTGAATCAGTAAGTACGGAACGCAGTGGTTAAGCCTACTCAATGGATTCCGGAACCCAAAAAGCCACTTGACTGGTATTCACGGAAGAACAGCGGGTTGGCGAACCCAGAGGACGAGCATATCGCTCAAGATCATGAACCCAGAGCTGCGAATCACAGGCAAACTAGTCCACTCTCTTGGAACTCCAAATCCCCCAGTCTTGCCCGGAAACTGTCTTTAAGGGGTACGTCTTCGCGAAAATAAGCGACGACTTCGCAAAGTTGTCGCCGTTGGCAACGGGACTGCCTAGAGCCTGTCTCAATCTGCATTAGTCAAGACTGATATGCGATGCGTGTGCGCTCCAAAAGTACCTTATTGGCAAATGGATACTAACAGCTAAAGTCGACTGCACAGGATCGCCCGTATCGTCGTAAGCTGAACGTCCGCGCGGCTGCCCGGCGTGCTGCTGCATAATATGGGCACTGGGATGAGCCATGCGCGGGAATCCTAATAGAGCATGTTTAGAAGTGGCCGTTTTGGATGGAATATATATCATAATGGAGCGCATAAGACGCTGATTCCAAATCTACTTTCCTAATTTGCATAAACTTTCATGAACGAGGAGTTATGAGCTTCTATCAGAGTAAAAATTCATCCGAGTAAGACAAAAAATGTCGTGACGTTTTCTCTAGCGTTTCGCTGAAACAATAATAATTATCAAAGCACTTTATTCAATAAACACTCTAAGATGTGAAGTATATCACACTTGTTTGCTTTATCTGAGTTAATAAGATCTCAACAACTCATGTTGTCCAAAATGCACATTTAATTTTCGCTTCAATGAACGCTCATCACTCCTCGTCCACAAACGTTCCGCAGCTAAGGAAGGCAAATTTGAAATTAGCATTTCAAGTTCTACAATATCGTAGACATTCCACCTAAAAAGGTCACTATGACTAAACAAGCTTTCTTTGTAAGCTTAACCCGCATGCCGTCCTAACCGCAACAGACACGCTCGCGACCTTTCAGCTTACGACGATACAGGCAATTTCTTGAAATCGACTTTATCCGCGTCTCGTATAGATTCGATACCAACTCTCAAATTCACATAGAGAGGAGAACGTGGAGCTAAGTTGGCGGTTTTCGATACGGGGAGTTCAAAAAGCAAAGTCGATGATAGTTAAGAGATTAACACAAACCAAATGACCAACTTTTTTGCGAGACTACTGTCGCATAGGAGGAGAGTGCGCAAAAGTCGGTATGTAGGCTGGCCACAGAACACAATAATGAGTTTGTCGATGTGGCTACCATCGAATTGGACACGTTACAATCCGTCAGCACTTGTTCCGCATGTGTCTGACAAGTAACGGTGAGGATGTCAGGTTACACACGTTTACGTATGTTTGCCACCAATGTAATTGTCATAAGTATTACCGCCGTTCACAAGCCGCTGACTTTTGCTTCAACATGTTTAAATAGAAATTCAAGTCGAATGCTTGAGGTAAAGATGGTAGGATCGAAAGGCAGTAAGGAGCTCGTTGTGTCTAGGGAATCTCGCTGGTAGACGAGGGATAGCGTCTTTTCCTCAGCTACCCTCAGGTAAATACAGTCAAACATAGCGAACGGCACCTAGACAAAAGTAATGAACGCCCGCCGCAGAAATGGCGTTTAAAGTAAAATGGTTGAGCAGATTCTTAGATTGGGATGCATTTTGCAGTGTTTTTTTTCTGGTGCACAATTTTTCCTTGGCATTTCTCTAGCTGAGGGGTGTGTGACGTTTCGCACGACCGTAATGCTTTCCACACAGGACCACCGCCGCGCGCGACACACCCTGCGGCGGCTTTTGCCTAAGCAAAACACGGGGAGGAAAGATTTGCGGCGTGCATTACATGTTAAGACAAGTCAAAATCAGGGAGACGCTGGAGACCGCCCGTGCGAAAAGACCGTCTCCCCTAGCTGAGGTCTCGCGAATCTTCCGGCAAACTGAAAGCCATGGCGTTGAAAGGCCCTATACAAGTTCTTTTTTTCGGGGTTAGAAGTTCTGTTTGTAGAGGATTTGACGTAAACCGCGCATTTATGTACCTCTCCAAAATTTTTCAGCTTCCTCTTGAATGTGAATCTCATTAATCAGCGAGCTGCAGAAGATGCGCCATTGCTCACATTATTTTGACAATACAACAATAATTCTACTTGATCGTCGTCACCAATCTCTATTTCAGATTGACCCCGTTCAGCCTCGAGCTTATGTGAAAAGTGCGGAAATTCTAGAAGCAATAAATGATTTGTAAAAATCCACAATCTTTATAGTCAGCAGATTCACTCAAAGGCAGCGTCCAGGCAGATCCGAGCTCGACGACCACTCCCACTTCCCTCGGACGGCCAACCCCTTAAGGGCCGGGCATACTTCAAGCGATTTCAATCGCGAAGCGATTTGTCACTATTCCAAGTGTCCATAACTCATTGTAAGCACACTATAAATGTACAGAAGATAGGGCATTTCTTCAGTTTACGTAAGTTATACACACTATACATGTGCAGTTTGCTAATGTTGGATCCGAAGACTTCTGGCGAATTGCCAAATCGCGTCGCGACTGAAATCGCGTGAAGTATGCCCGGCCCTTTATGAACGAGATCTCCTCAGCCTTGACGTGTTTTCACATGACCAACACAGTCGAACTTACAGCGTTTACCTGTTAATACTTGCTTTCGACAAGGATAACATCAGAAGCACTCGTCCGAGTTTTCCCAAAATAGCCCCAAAAGGTGGTTTTCTGAAAAGTACAAGCTTTTTGAGCTCCATATTCGGAATCAGCGCCATGGAAAGGCCTGGATAACATAAAAATATAGAGGTCGAGAATTTGCCTGGACGCTGCCTTTAACACGATGTAATCTATGAACGTGTCTAGCATCGTATACCAATTTTCAGCCAATATCAAAATTTATAGAAAATCAATTTACAAGAAATTGCTGGATATCCCAAAAAAATATAACTGGTTGAAAACTGTCTAGATTACTCCCCCCCCCTCCCCGCATTTGCGCACAGGGCCCGGCACAAGGTGGGCAAACGGGGTTTTCCAAAACGAATACCCCTTTGATCCCAGTAAGTTTTACGAATACTCCCTTGAGCCCAAAAATGACGTTTTGTGCTTGTGCGACGAGATTACCGGCCACACTTCGCCTAAAAGCGCTCAAAAGCGCCCAAATTGCTCAAATTCCTCATATTACTCAAATTGCTGTACCAAGATAGGAAACAGGAAGAAAAATAAGCAGTAAAAAGGATTAGGGAATGAGAAAATATCAAAGAAACGCAGTCATAGGGATGAGAGACGCCGTTCCCGCGCGTATCGATTGACTGGGGCGCGCTTTCTATCTTAGAAAGCTAGGCTGCTGATGCCATTTTGGGCTCCAACAAGGACAAGAGGAGGAGTTTCGGAACCAAAATTTCAACATGTAGTAAACTTTAGGTGTACAACAGATTTATGTAAAAATTTTGAGAAAATTATGTGAATTGAGAGTTTTGCCGACCTCAGGTGGGAATTAGGTCGGCAAATGCCGACCTAATTTGGAAATAAGTTAAGGAAACTCTTCATTCACATAAGTTTTTCATAATATTTCATACTTTATTACTTAGTCCTATTGCGCATATACACACCGAAGCCCGCGCGATTTCGTTACCTCTGCGTTGCAAACGAGCCATTTTTCCATTTCTTTGGTAGCGCAAAATTTCCAGAAAAAAGTTTGCCACAACCTTCAGTCACATAATTTCTCAATGAAACTCCTCAGTTGAGCCCTGCAAGCCCGTGTGCATGTACTTACCAAGTTTCATACCATATCGTTCATCTGTGCTTTCCAAACGAGCCGTTTAAATTCACATTTTCATTTACCAGTTTTGCGAAATTCTCGGAAAAAATGCTAATTACTCGTTCCGTTCACGTAAGTTTTTCATAATTTTTCATGCTGTGTTTCCACTAGCCTCTGTCCGTTCGCACACAAAATTTGGTGCCATATCGTTACACACACATTGAGAACTAATCATGTATGCAGTTACAAATAGCATCGCTTGGGCGACGTCGCGCGTGCGGCACTTAGCGACGGCGCGGTTTGACGCGCGCGAACTCCAGTGTTCGCCTGTTGAGGCACATAACATGTCAAGATAAGTAGCGAGCATGAACTACCAATTTTTTTCCGGGGCTCTGCCCCGGACCCCGCAAAAACGATTTCCCCTTTGCTTTTTGGCCCCAGAACGATTTCCAGCTTGTCATTTGCCGACCTCGTGCCGGGCCCTGGGTGCGCATGATTAGATAGAATTGGTCGGAAATAAATTTTTGTTTTGAACATATAGACCACCGTAAAGACATTTATTTTGCGATGCACATATAAGAAATAGAAAATCTATATTACTGTGTACATGGAAAATTTAACTTTATGTTTCCTGCATTTGCCATGTCCAAGCTAGGCTAGTGGCCATCTCAATGGTCCGCC